CGACCAGCAGGAGAGGGCGGCGAGATTTGGGGGGTGCATCCAGATGGACACCACCGTCTTCGCGAACAGGTGATCGATACTACGCATGTAGCTCCGACCGTGGCAGAACTTTTTCGCAAGTTTACATAACACACGGAACTCCCCGAGCACGCCCCCTCGGCCGAATCTGAGACGACAAAGATGATTGCCGTCCCCACGGTAAAGGTATCTGAAAACTAACCTGCCGATGGCACGGCCGCAGGTACGGATGCCCGGTCCTTCTGTTCGTGGGTGTTGATGACGAGAACCGTAGCTGCATACTGGGCCAGGGTCTCCTACGCTCGGAATGCGCAGAGACGTTCGAGTGGTTCCTCACTCAATACGAGAGCGCCGCTGGTGGATGGGAACGGCGGCCGAAGGTGAACTTTTCGTCACCCTGGTGTGTAAGGGTAGTTCATTGGTGGTCTCTGCCATTTTCAGAGGTCAGGGGTAGAAACCCCCACGATGGGTGGAGGATCGGAGACGCCGAGAATGCCCCCCAGACAGGGGACGGGGCAGGGAGAGATGGTGTCGCAAATACCCATGACCCGCCTGTTCTAGACAGCATCCTACGTATATATTTCCGCGTCGGTCGACGATGAGCTCGTCCAATCCCTTTTGCTCTCTGGGGTTTTACCGCAACTCCGCATTTCCAAACGCTTTCAAAGCCCAATCTGAGTGTCTCATCGAATTTTCGTTATTATTTGATGGATTTTGCCTTATCTATGGTGTTGAAGGTCATCCTCACGGACGCCGATGTCGCCATGACCTCGGCCGTAGCTTCTGTCTGGAAGGGTACGCAACACCTCTTCTGCCTGTGGCACGTCAACAAGAACCTTGTCAAGAAGTGTGCCGGCGCCCTGTCCGACCACGACCGAACGCGGATGCTTCGTTCCTTCCGCAGCGCAGCTTATGCAGTTAATGCCGAGGTGAGGTTCGAGGCCTCGTCGCCTGCGCCAGGGACGCTTTTCCGCTCAAAACTCTCCGACTGCTTAGGCAGCTATTTGATCCAAACATGGCCAAACATGGCCTTGCCTGTTGCAACCCGCCACCGTTGCGCGTATTTCCAGGCCTTCGCATCCAGCAGGGGTCAGATGGAGCAGATTTCTGCGGGAACGAAGTGCGAGGAATACGTCGACAACCTATTCAAGTGAGTGCGTGTCGACTAACCCAAGCATATTCTGCGCGTTCTTCCCACTTTGAATTCGCCCTGGTGTGGAAGAAGCTACCTCTACTACCCAACGCGTGGAGGGCTTGTTCTCTGTGGCGAAACGTATGGGAGTTATCAAGCAGTTGTCCCTCTGCGCTCTTTGGGACGTCTTGAGACGTGTCGACACGTCCCTAGCGATTGAGTCCGCCAGGCGAGTTTCATGGAGTTACCACTCCCGGATTTCAGAGGAATTACCGCTTCTTCTTCGCATCGTGTGTTTTCCGCTTCCCATAACTTCACTTAAGGTGAGGGGGGTAATCTTTGTTGGGTTTGGGTCATCTTTGCTGAGTTTGGGTTCCATGGATCAGCTTTGTCGCAGCTCGGTCGTTTTTNAGTCCGCCAGGCGAGTTTCATGGAGTTACCACTCCCGGATTTCAGAGGAATTACCGCTTCTTCTTCGTATCGTGTGTTTTCCGCTTCCCATAACTTCACTTAAGGTGAGGGGGGTAATCTTTGTTGGGTTTGGGTCATCTTTGCTGAGTTTGGGTTCCATGGATCAGCTTTGTCGCAGCTCGGTCGTTTAAATCGCTCATCTCACTCGCCCGTTTAATGTTGAAGGCAATCGATTGTGGGACTCGGCGATTGTGACATTCGGTACGAAGGAGCCAGTCTCCCCGTTAACCCCAACCCCGCCACATGTCCCCGCCACATATCCTACGCCCCGTGCCGGATGGTCTATGTCTACAGGCTCGCAACTCCGGCCATCGCTGCGCAGCTGCCATTCCAGGAGAAGCACATGGAGAACTTTTTCACGCCGATCAACGAAGGACTTCAGCGTGTCGGTGCCAGCCAATTCTGCACGCGGGTGAGTCCTGTTAACGGCATCATACACGGCTGTGGTCAACGCAGACCCACGCAATGCTACCACATAATCGCTGCTTCGCTACCCTTTTGGTAAACCTCAATCGATTCTGTCTGGCCCTCCTGTCAATACCATCAACCTCGTCCAACACTGACCAGGACGTCCGACGCGAGCTCGGGGGATCGCAGTCGTACGACGTGGAGCGCATCGTCGACCGCCAACCCGCCCAAGACCCCGTCAAGGTGGGGC